GAGAGAGAGAGAGAGAGAGAGAGAGAGAGAGAGAGAGAGAGAGAGAGAGAGAGAGAGAGGAGCGCTACCGCCGCTACGGTAGCAGATGGCAGGCAGGTGTGCTAGTAGGGTAAGCCAGGGCAGGCAGATAGCTTAGGGCAGGTCGCAGGCAGGAAGCTTAGGCCAGGTGGCCCGACTGATATACCGCCCGGCCACAGAAAACCGCAAAGGGATTCATCGAGAAAACAACAAACAAAAACATATTGCGCCAAAAAACAAAAAAAGGAGGGGGACGGGCATGAAGCGCCACCGCCACCGGTAGCGGCGCTGCTGGTAGAGGTGAGAGACCTACGGGCGGTGGGGGGGGCGACACCGATGGTGTCAGCGGTGTGCAGCACTCGTTCACGTGCGAAGTTTAGTCATGGAGATCTCACGAGGTTTCGCGCGTGACTGTATGGACAGCCAGGCTCAGCTATGGTGTTATACCTCCAGCTGCTTGAAAGGGCGGAGGCCAATCCTGCAGCCCCCCTTACACACACCTAAACACATCTACGCACAAAGCTTCATCTACACCTACACATGTGGAACACCTCTTCCTCGATCCCATCATACCATCCGGACTGCCCAGGCAGTTCCGAGATTGTCCTATATCCTCCATATTTTAGACGTACCGACCACAATTTGTGGACCAGACACATTAAGAACGAGCGTACTTTAGGAAGAAGCTTGGAAGACTGAAGCAGCGTAACCGGATGCAGTGGGAGAGTGTGTGGCGGCCGTGGAAGCACTTCAACAGGTCCGAGCATTTTCTGCAGATACCTCATCACAGAGTCATCAGATCAGACAACGGGGATGTATGGCACCTCTTCTGGGCAAACAGAGAATCAAGAGCTCTCATGCTCACTTCAACGTACTTTGAAGCTATACATATAATATCTGCCGCTCAGATATATCCTTTCATCCACTCCTCTTAGTTAGTATCTGATAGTTTTCTAGTTTTTTTTTTTCTTTCTTAGGTTAGATCCAACAAGCCATATTTTAGCATTGAGTCGTCCTTCTGGCTTTCTTCATTCGTGCCCTTACGCTCCACAATGCCCAGAATTGCCTTCAACACTCTGTACTCGAAGTCTGGCATCACTCGGTACTCGAAGTCTGGCTTTCTGAAGCGGTTTTCACCTTTTAGCAGTAGCAGAGGCAGTACCCAGGGCTCGATCCCTAGACCTCACCATACACATGTACAGTATCTGTGTAGACCCCGAGAGTTGAACCTGTGACCTGTGTATTCGTAGACAGTTGGTGGGTCTGTCGTAGGTCCATAAGCAGCAGGGGTTCGATCTGTAGGTCTATAGAGTAGAAGTCTTAGCAAGTTCCAGAAGTCTAGCTGTAGTCCTTCTAGAAGGTCGGCAAGTGGGCAAGTGGTCAAGTGGCGAGGCAAGTGGTGGACTAAACTGCAGTGCAATCGCAGTACGACGACGGTAGGATAGCAGTGAGTCCACAGACAGTCAGCGGTAAGGTCCAGTCAGTCCCAGTCCAGTCCAGCAAGTACCACGGGGGACTGTGAGCACCATGGGCCGATGGCGAAGGGCAGACCAACGAGTTTCCGAAGTATAAATCAAGAGGCAGCGCCCAGCCTTTCATTCATTCCTGTGTGAGCCATGCGGAAGCGCTACCACAGCGACTTGTGCAAGGAGGTCTGCAGTGAGCCCGGAGGATGCAGTGGGCGAGAGAGAAGGAGCTAAGTGTAGTGATAGGGTAGTGGCAGCCATAGCTGCCATAGCTGTAGTTAGAGTGAAGTGTGTGTGTGTATGTGCGAGTGTTCAGAGTTACGCGTGTGGGATATCCAGGGTGATCCAGTGTATGTGAACAGTGAGTTGTTTGGGCGCTGAGTCGCCAGAGCCAGTTGAGAGTGAACTCGTATCTGGAAGCTATATCTCTGAGTTTTGAGTGGCCGCATGTCGCCAGTTTGCTGCGTTGCTGTTTACATGCATGAAAAGTGTGAATGAGTACGAGTCTGATTGCATTTGTATCGGAGCTGGTACCCGCTATTCCATGCGCGCCGTCGTATGAAGGACCTGATGCGCCATAGCCGAGGTGGCCGCCGAAGGCAGTAGTCCGCCATAGCGGACCTGAGGGTGGAGAAGCCGCCGCGCACCTGCAAGAAGATCACGACGAAGAAGAAGACCGGGCGAGAGAGAGAGAGAGAGAGAGAGAGAGAGAGAGAGAGAGAGAGAGAGAGAGAGAGAGAGAGAGA